ATGTGCCCCCCCCCCCGCGGTCACATGGCCGGCAAGCCACTCCCACAAAGCAGGCCACACCTACAGAAGAGGTTCTAAAAATTTTTGAAACCCACCAATGATCGGGAAGCAACACTTACTATTGTGAGATCTCGACGAGGAGGGGGTCTTTGCCTCATCTTTGGTGATTCTGTTAAAACAAGTATTTAAATGGGCTTCAAAGTTATCAGCATGTGTTTCAGAAAACGCTTGGGAACATCATCCCATCGACGTACGACCTCAACTGAGCCAAAATTTCTGTTGCTAAGCAAGACATTTGTGAAGTGGGTTTTGCCGCATTTTACGACCTTCCTTGCCACAGTTGCTAAGTGAATCACTGCAGTTATTAAGTTAGCATGATGGTTGTTAAGTGAATCTAGCTATATCCCATTGAACCTTGCTTATCAGGAGGCCACAAAAAGTATCCCATGACCCCAGGACACTGCACCACTTAACCACTGCAGTTGTTAAGTGAAATCTGGATTCCTCATTGACTTTGTTTGTCAGAAGTTTGTAAAAGGTGATCACATGATCCAGAAACACCGCAACCATCTTAAATATTAAATATGAATCTGTTGCCAAGTGTCCGAATTTTGATCACGTGACAGTGGGGATGCTGCAACAACTGTCATAAGTGTGAAAAACATTCATGTCACTTTTATCGGTGCTGTTGTAACTTTGAACAGTCACTAAATGAACTGTTGTAAGTTGAGGACTCCCTGTATTCTAGTCCGAGAAAGTACATCGTTTCTATTTGCTTTCCCCCATGAGCCGCACCCTGGCAGCCTTCTTGATTCATTTCTATCTCAAGGATGACTCATCTAATCAAGGTTTTAGTAGATCTTGGATCAGTTGCCCTGAGCACTCCATTGAGTTCCACAAAGGCAAGGTGGGAAAGGGGATAAGGAATGGAGAAAGAAAGCAGATGAGGTTTTCCTTCATAGACAACTTTGGAACAGTGGAATGCTTGTATCCCTTGATGGGAACATGTCATATCCAGACATTCATTACAAGTGTTTGAGGGAATGGTCTTGAAGGATGGGAGGAAGAGCTACTACCAAGGCAATGGTCAGATAAGCAGGGCTTGAGCCTCAACCAAGAAAAGAATGAGCCCCTCCCTTGTTCACATGAAAAGGGCGGGGGGCAGGGGGGAACAACACAGTTAGACTTGCAAGATATAGTTGCAATAAAAATAGTCCTAAGGTAAATGGCATTTGTTTCTTAGCCTGGTCTACCTCGTAGAGTTAACATTCAGCCATCCCGAATAAAGGACAGGTGCCGAGGTGGTGCAGTGGTTAGAGTGCTGTACTGCAGCCACTTCAGCTGACTGTTATCTGCAGTTCGACTGTTCAAATCTCACCGGCTCAGGGTTGACTCAGCCTTCCATCCTTCCGAGGTGGGTAAAATGAGGACCC